CGGGATCTTACAGAGACCAGCAGGTCCCACACTCCTCTGTGGGAGACTCCCAGAGCAGGCAGCCAGAGCCCTCCGCACCCAATGGGGCATGCACTGAGTGCTGAGTGCCTTGATGAAGTCACCACTACCCCACCCATCTGTTTTCAAAGTTGTTTGCTTTTAAAGTTCTGGAGTCAGCTGGGCATTTGAGGCCCCCGGTGCCGTGTAGGAGTTGGTCAGCATGTGGCATTTTCCGGGGGTCCCTGAGCCAGAGCTCCTGTGGTCACCATGTTCCCCTCTGCCAGTGGCTACTCTGCTTCTCCTCAGACATCTCGTTCCACCGCCCGAGCTTGTTTGGTTATCACAGACTACCCCTCACTGCCCCACTCAGCCTTTGGCCTGACAGGTCCTCCTTTCCCCCTGAAACTGCCCCCTAGCCAAAGCCAGGCCTGCCAGAATCGCTCTCTCTCACTCTGCCCAGCTCACCTCCACCCTCTGCTGCCCAGCTCCGTGTGTGCCTGCTTGTGCACCTACAACTATTCTTGCCATCTTCATCAGGTGGTGACCCCCCACTGCCCAGGCCAAAGGGTGTATCAGCCTTTATCAGGTGGTTCTTCCCTGCAGCCCCAAAGGGACTGACCACTTCTCTGTTCTAGAGGTTTCTACCCACTGGCATGCCTTTTCTAGTAAGTTGTCCTGGCTTCTTGTTTGCTCTTCCTTTTTCTGCCAGCTGAAGGTGGAAGTGGGTGCCCCCTTCCCTCAGCCCTGTGCTCTTCAACTGGAGGGCTCACGCAGCAGGCTCCCACATCCCAGCCTCCCATACCCACGAGAGTCCCCACATGTCCCTAATTCATTGTATGCAAAATGGCCCTTTCATATTCCTTGGAGGTTCTCCTCTCCACATTCACAATAGCCCTTCATCCAACTGGTCACCTGGCCAGTAGCCTGAGTACCTGAGTATTGTCTATCCATCTCCTGACACTGAGCGCTCCTTAGCACCATCCTTTTCCACTGTTCCCCTCCCTGGAGCCCCCTTCCCACCTCATCTGCCTATAGACACTTGCTGGTCCTCTGAGAACTGGCTCTGTGGACACCCCTACAGTGGGCCCGCCTCAGGCCCTGCAGCTGAGGAGACCTGACCACACAGGGCGGGGCCACCACACACTCCTGGTTCCTTGTCCAGGCCCAGCCTGAGGAAAGGCAGGTACGTCAGGCCGCTGGCTGCCAAGGAGGCTGCTCTGCACCAACCATTCCCTGTGCTGCAGGTTCTTTCTGATGTGTTACCTGTTTGTGAACCTGGCCTGTGCTGTGCAGACGCTCTTAAGGACACCCAACTGGCGGCCCCGGTTCAAGTACTATCACTGGTAAGCGCCAGCCGGACCCATCAGCCGAGTCCTCTGACACAAGAATTGTGGGGGAAGAGGGGAGCCCCATCCGGGATGGGGTTTGAGTTTCCTGGGTAGCGTTGCTCTGGTAAGAGATTGGGGTGTTGGAGGGTTGGCTGGGGACCCTACTGATCTCCCTGATTCTGATCCTTCCCCACTCTGGCCCAGGGCGCTGTCCTTCCTGGGCATGAGCCTCTGCCTGGCCCTTATGTTTGTCTCCTCCTGGTACTATGCCCTGGTGGCCATGCTCATTGCGGGCATGATCTACAAGTACATCGAATACCAAGGGTGAGTGCGGGGCTGCCACCTGGTTGGGGCAGGTGGGGTGGTCTGTCTGCCGGGCTTGGGGGAGCTGAGCCATCTATTAGCCGCCGCAGGTGTGGGGCTGGGGTTCTGTGACTCGGACTGTCTGCCCGCCACCTCACATACACACGGATGGAATCCTGCGGGTGGGCCCAGGGACTCACCAGCTCATGGTGGCCTCCACAGGGCTGAAAAGGAGTGGGGTGACGGGATCCGAGGCCTCTCCCTGAGTGCTGCCCGTTATGCACTGTTGCGGCTAGAGGAGGGGCCTCCCCACACCAAGAACTGGCGGTGAGTTCACACCCAGGCTGGCAGGAGCCACTCTAGATCCTCAGGGGCTGTTGGGAGGGTGGGAGGTCAAGAGGTGCTGGCTCTCCCTCCCGAGTCCATGTTCCCTGTTCCAAGGTTGTCAGGTGCCCCTGGATTCTTGCTTCTCAAACCTGTGGGGGCCTGTGAGCTGAGAAAGGAGGGAGAGGGGCTCCCTGGAAACCTGTGGCCCAGGTCTCAGGCTGTCCACTTGGGCCCTGCAGGCCTCAGCTGCTGGTGCTGCTGAAGCTGGACGAGGACCTTCACGTGAAGTACCCGCGGCTCCTCACTTTCGCCTCCCAGCTGAAGGCCGGCAAGGGCCTGACCATTGTTGGTTCTGTCATCCAGGGCAGCTTCTTGGAGAGCTATGGCGAGGCTCAGGCAGCCGAGCAGGTGCCTACTGTAGGGGGCGGGGTGCTGCACCAGATTGGAGGTGTCTGGGCTCCTGCTAACTCCTAGGAGAAGGGGACTAATCCTGGCCAGCCGGGTGGCCAGCACTGCTGCCCCGAGAGCTGAGGCAAGGGGGAATCGCTGTCCCGCCTTGAAAACATGGCCTCTGGGTGGACGGCTTACCCCCTTCTCCTCCCTGACCCTCACCCCCCGGTCATTCTGTGGAGAGGGAGCCCAGCAGAGGGAACACTGACAGCCTTGTCTTCTGACCCTGGTGTCTTCCCTACAGACAATCAAGAACATGATGGAGATTGAGAAGGTGAAGGGCTTCTGCCAGGTGGTCGTAGCCAGCAAGGTGCGAGAGGGGCTGGCCCACCTCATCCAGTCTTGCGGCCTGGGTGGCATGAGGCACAACTCCGTGGTGCTAGGCTGGCCCTATGGCTGGCGACAGAGTGAGGACCCGCGTGCCTGGAAGACCTTTATCGGTGTGTGACAGGGCAGGTCCTGGGCTGGGCCATGTGGGAGAGGAGCTAGGGATCAAGTAAGGGTGGAGGCCTGAGGGCCACAGGCTGGCCTTCAGCAGTGGCCTTCTTTCCCAGACACCGTGCGTTGCACCACGGCGGCCCATCTGGCCCTACTCGTCCCCAAGAACATCGCCTTCTACCCCAGCAACCATGAGCGCTACCTGGAGGGCCACATTGACATTTGGTGGATTGTGCACGACGGGGGCATGCTCATGCTCTTGCCTTTCCTGCTACGCCAGCACAAGGTGGGCCAGCTGGGTGGACGCAGGCGGGCTGGGCCCTTGGTGGGGTGGCTTGTGGCTAAAGCGCCTACCTGCTCCCGGGGCCCAGGTGTGGAGGAAGTGCCGAATGCGCATCTTCACCGTGGCCCAGATGGACGACAACAGCATCCAGATGAAGAAGGATCTGGCCATCTTCCTGTACCATCTGCGCCTTGAGGCAGAGGTGGAGGTGGTAGAGATGGTGAGTCACCTGCCCCTGTGGCCCCGTGGCTGCCCCGCCGCATGCAGCCCATTCCTCATGGCCCATTCTCTCTCTCCAGCACAACAGTGATATCTCCGCATACACCTACGAGCGGACACTGATGATGGAACAGCGCTCCCAGATGCTGCGGCAGATGCGGCTGACGAAGACGGAGCGGGAGCGAGAGGTTGGTGGCTCTCTTGTTTGGGGCAGGGGCGTGTGGCAGGTCAGGCTTCAGAGACACCATCGGTTTGAGGAATTGGATTGACTCACCCCACCTACCCTCACCTGAGTCAGTACCCATTTCCCAGAGGCCCAGTGCTCATGTTGGGCCAGCCAGGCCGCCCTTTTCCTTTGGCACCAAGGCCACCTCTGACTTTTCTCAGGCCCAGCTGGTCAAGGACCGACACTCAGCCCTGCGGCTGGAAAGCCTGTACTCGGACGAGGAGGATGAGTCTGGCACTGGCGCTGACAAAATCCAGATGACATGGACGCGGGACAAGTACATGGCGGCTGAGTCCCGGGATCCTAGCCACGCCCCTGACAATTTCCGGGAGCTGGTGCATATTAAGCCGTGAGTGTAGCAAAAACGGACCCCACCATAGAGGAGTCTGGGAGTGGAGATGCGCTTGGGTCGGACAAGGTTTTTGGTGGACCGGGGGTGGGGCCTGTGATCAGCTGCATCTCCTGCAGGGACCAGTCCAACGTGCGTCGCATGCACACTGCCGTGAAGCTCAATGAAGTCATTGTCACGCGCTCCCACGATGCCCGCCTGGTTCTACTGAACATGCCCGGCCCACCCAAGAACAGCGAAGGTGATGAGAACTGTATCCTCTTGTGGAGAGGGAAGCAGTAGGGAGATGGACAACACATGAGGTCAGGCCAGGAGCTCTTCTCCTTAGATGCCCGCGGGGAGTGCGAGGTTACCCCAGCTCTGATTAATAGGCCAAACTTCCCTGGGTGCCTCTTGGTGCCGGTGCTGCCTCCTTGACCTGATGCCCTACAGACATGGAGTTCCTGGAGGTGCTGACCGAGGGCCTCGAGCGTGTGCTGCTGGTGCGTGGCGGTGGCCGTGAAGTGATCACCATCTATTCCTGAGCCGGCTAGACACTTGTGGCTCGGAGTGGAGGTGTCCAGGGTAACAGCCTCCTCCTAGCACCTACCCAGCAGCCCTGCTTTGCCTGGCCCTGTCCTGGACCCAGCTCTGCTGGGTCTCCGTGGAAGCCCAGGCATGGGCTGGTAATGCCAATGGATCCGAGGTTCTGCAGGACCCTGAGAGGTCTGGGGACTTCCCCATCCAGCACCCCAGGAGGGCTGTCCTGGCTGGAGAAGACTCAGGGGGAGGGGGGCTCACATGGGATTTGAAGGCAGCCTGCCCAGGAGCGCTATTTATTGCATATTTATTGTTTGGATGTCACCATCAGAGAGGAGAGGAAGGGCAACAGGGGAGGGGGGTCTGGCCCCACCCACCTACAGGAAGACCTGGCTCAGGCTACTGTGGGCAGGGACCCCCACCAAGCCAAGCCGAATGGAACTGGCCAGCTGGAGCCTGACTTTTTTCAATAAAACATTGTGTACTTCTGGGCCTCCTGCTGCCCCGGCTCTGTTTCCCCTGGCACCAAGGGAAGAAGGCGGAACTGAAACCAGGCCCAGAGCTGGCTCCCTGAGGCTATGCCCCTTTCCGGCAATCTCTGGCCACCCCCATTGGCCAGGCTGTCCCTCCCACTGGCCTTAGGGCCCCTCCCACCCCCACTCCAGATAAGGCCAGCCCAGGACTGCTTCACTGGGCAATAGGCACTAGGGCTGGAATGGGGCCGCCGGGCTCCCCATGGCAGAGGGGGCTGCTGCTGCTGGGGCTGCTGCTCCCCCCTGCCACCCCTTTCTGGCTTTTCAATGTGCTCTTCCCCCCGCACACCACGCCCAAGGCTGAGCTCAATAACCACACACGGCCCGTCATCCTCGGTAAGCCCCCGCCAGGCCCCTGATGCACCAGGCCAGACCTCAGGGAGTCTGGGCCCCAGCCCCCTGGTAGCAGACCCTGCCAAGGCCCTTCTGCCCCTGCATTTGCCTGATACCTGCCTCTGTGTTTGAGGGTCCAAAGGCTTCTGCAAAGAAATGAACCCCTTCCCCCACCACACTGTTCTGCGTCTCTCAGCTATCTACCCCAGGCGGGTGGAGTTGGGGGCGGGTGAGCCTGAGGGCTTGGCCTGGGCATTACAAGCTGTGGTCAGCTGTAGCCACTCAGCCCCCATCCCAGCAAAGACAAGATGCCCAACCCAGGAAAACAGAAGAGGCCCATCAAGGCCTGCCTCCTACTCCTAGGCCCAGCCCCCACTCCCCCATACCTATTTGTTCTCACCTTGGACTTCGGCATTAATGGAGAGGCCAGGGAAGGTGTTTGCCTTTTGTAGACCGGGGCCAGTGGCCTTGGCCCCTGGACCTTCCACACCTGAGGAGAACCTGGGCTCTAGGCTGCTGGGGGGATGGGGTGGGGGTGTTAAAGGAAAGGATCAAATCCTTAGTTCCTGGAGGTTGAGGCTGTGGGAGACGGAGGGGCGGAGCTGGTCACACAGCCTGATGGGGGGGAAGGGAGGGGAGGGGGGAGAGGAGCACAGGGGAGGAATCTGAAGAATTCAGAATGAAGGCTAGTACCCACAGTGCCTGGCTGCCTGGGGAATCAGCTGGAAGCCAAGCTGGATAAACCAGATGTGGTGAACTGGATGTGCTACCGCAAGACAGAGGACTTCTTCACCATCTGGCTGGATCTTAATATGTTCCTACCCCTTGGGGTGGACTGCTGGATTGATAACACCAGGTACGTGCCCTCCCCTCTGCCCGGCCCCCACGCTCAGCCCCTTGGCTGCTGGCGGGCTGAATGTCCCACCGCCCCCAGGGTTGTCTACAACCGCAGCTCTGGGCTTGTGTCCAATGCCCCTGGTGTACAGATCCGTGTCCCCGGCTTCGGGAAGACCTACTCTGTTGAGTACCTGGACAACAACAAGCTGGCAGGTGTGTTTACTGGGGAAAGGGTGGGCTGCGGCCGTGGCTAGCCCACAGGAGCCGTGACCAGAGCCTCCAATGCCACTGCCTTCCCCACAGGTTACATGCACACGCTGGTGCAGAATCTGGTCAACAATGGGTATGTGCGGGATGAGACGGTGCGCGCCGCCCCCTACGACTGGCGGCTGGAGCCCAGTGAGTGTCTCTGTAGACAGTGGGCTTGGGGCAGGTGGGCCCTGACCCCTCACTGCCCTGATCCCCCACCCCACTCCGCTGCAGGCCAGCAGAAGGAATACTACCGGAAGCTCGCCAGGCTGGTGGAGGAGATGCACGCTGCCTATGGGAAGCCTGTCTTCCTCATTGGTCACAGCCTTGGTTGCCTGCACTTGCTCTATTTCTTGCTGCGCCAGCCCCAGGCCTGGAAGGACCGCTTCATCGATGGATTCATCTCTCTTGGGGCTCCCTGGGGGGGCTCCATCAAGCCCATGCTGGTCTTGGCCTCAGGTGAGAGGGCCTCTGACCACCCGTGTTAATGAGGGGCCTGGGGTGGAGGGGGATGAAGCTGACCAACGGGCCTGCCCTCACTCCTGCTTCTGCTCACACGGCCAGGCTTGCGGGGAGGGGGTGTTATTTACCACTCCAGAGGCCTGGCCCCTGTCACTGGCCCCTTGAGAGCAGTAAGCCTGGCCTGGCCTGGTAGCTCCTGCCAGAAGTCTGTTTTGGTGATTTGGTGTTTCAGTGACAAAAGTAAAGTAAATGGAGAGGAAGAGAGGAAGTGAACCCCATCAATCTGACACATGGACCTAGGTCTGTTCCTTGTGGTCTCAGGGCCTGCCCACTCGAATTTCAGCAGGCTTCTGGTTCCAGGAGCCCGTTTTCCAGAGATCTGCCTACTGAGAACAGATCTGCCAAAGGCAGGGCCAGTCCCTAGAAGCCCCTCTGCCCTTCCCTGAGAACTGACACAGCTGCTACCTGTTGAGCACTGACTATATGCTGGGCACAGCCAGACTTGACCTTCCCTCCAGTAGCTCATTGATATGCTGAGGAAAACACTCATCAGACTCCATCAATAAGGGCCAAACAGAGACCCAGTCTGATTTGATTCTTCAAGAACATAGCTCTGACCCCGAGTAGCCTCAGTCCACAGCAGCCACCAGACACTTGGCTGAGGGAGAACCACCAGCACCATCCTCCCATCTACACACATATATACCCATATTCCAGAAACCAACTTCTCCCTCCTTTTGGGGCTCTACAGCTCTGCCCCACGTGCCATCAGGGCTTCTCACTTAATAAGCACACATTGAACACCTACTGAATGCTGGCATGCTCAGAGTTTGTGGCTTGGAGGCAGTGTTGGAATTGGGCAGGGACAAGACTGAGCATCCAACTGAAATGGGCTGAGAGGCAAGCTGTGGGTCGGAGGTAGCCAGGCCCCCTGACCCACCTGGCTTTGTGTTCACAGGTGACAACCAGGGCATCCCAATCATGTCCAGCATCAAGCTGAGAGAGGAACAGCGTATAACAACGACTTCCCCCTGGATGTTTCCCTCTAGCGAGGCATGGCCTGAAGACCATGTGTTCATTTCCACACCCAGAGTCAACTACACAGGCCATGACTTCCAGCGCTTCTTTGCAGACGTGCACTTTGAGGAAGGCTGGTACATGTGGCTCCAGTCACGTGACCTACTGGCAGGCCTCCCAGCACCTGGCGTGGAAGTATACTGTCTGTATGGCGTGGGCCTGCCCACACCCCGCACCTACATCTTTGACCACGGCTTTCCCTACACAGACCCTGTAGGGATACTCTATGAAGATGGTGATGACACTGTGGCCACACGCAGCACTGAGCTCTGTGCCCGCTGGCAGAGCCGCCAGCCCCAGCCTGTGCACCTGCTGCCTCTGCACGGGACACAGCACCTCAACATGGTCTTCAGTAACCAGACTTTGGAGCACATCAATGCCATCCTACTGGGTACCTACCGACGTAGCACCCCTGTGCCCCCAGCTGCCAGCCCAGGGCCTCTGCCCTCCAAATAAAGACCTTCTTTTGCTCTCTGAGCTTTGACCTGTAACTTGTGGGTTCAGGAGGAGGCACTAGTGTCCACACACCAGGCTTCGCTGAGCAATAGCCCTAGGCCTGGTGCTTTGTGGAAGGTAAGGGCAAGATGGACTTTGGAGAAGCCTGGAATTGAACTGGGAACCCTGAGATGTATAGCTTCCCACTTTCCTGGTTGAGCTGTTTATGTAGACTGCCTCTGCTCTGGAATCAGGGGACTGGAGGAAGCTGCACACACAGCTGTGCGATGGGGGCACCTAGAGGCAACGGTGCAGGGAGAGAAGTGAGCTGTCCCACCCACTCCCCAAAGGGCAGGTGGATCCCACCTCTAGACAGGGCCTTTTTTTTTTTTTTTTTAAGATTTGTTTATGGGAGGGGCGCCAGGGTGGCTCAGTGGGTTAAGCCTCTGCCTTCAGCTCAGGTCTGATCTCAGGGTCCTGGGATCAAGTCCCGAATCGGGCTCTCTGCTCGGCAGGGAGCCTGCTTCCTCCTCTCTCTCTCTGTCTGCCTTTCTGCCTACTTGTGATCTCTCTCTGTCAAATAAATAAAATAAAATCTTAAAAAAAAAAAGATTTGTTTATGAGAGAGAGAGAGAGAGATAGGCAAAGGAGCGGGAGAGAATCTCAGACTCCCTGCTGAGCATGGAGCCCCCCGCAGGGTTCGACCCTACAAACCATGAAATCATGACCTGAACCAAAATCATGAGTCAGACACTCAACCGACTGAGCCACCCAGGTGCCTCCCTAGACAGGGCCTTTTGAATGCTAAGTGGGTGACAGAAGTATATGAGTTTAGAATCTGGGGGAGAGACAGTGACTAATCAGATCATTTCTCTAATGAAGGTTTAATTAATGGAGCTAAGTGGTCTGTGAGAACAGTTTAGGGAGCACCAAGGGCCTGAGTCTTGTGGGTCAGGGAAGGCTTCCTAGAGGAGCTGGTGCCTATTCTGAGATCATATAGGATGAGAAGGGTAATGTGGGCCACTATAAAGACTTGGCTTTGAGCCTAGGAGCAATATGCACTTGCTGAAGGGTTAACCAGGGGAAAATTGTAACCAGATTTGCAATCCAGGAGGAGTCCTTTCTCTGCAAGGTAAAGGGTAGCCTGGGGTGGGGGCTACGGGCAGGAAGCTTGGGGAAGCCAGAGAGGGCCGTGCAGTGTCCAGGGGAGAGAGGATGCTAGCTGAGACTAAAGCGGTAGTTAGGAGAAAAATGTGGACAGATGAAGGGTCATTTGGGAGGTCAAATAAGGCTTGTCCATGGGCAGAGCCCGGCATGCCTCCAGGCCACTAGATGGACGGCCCCACAGGACCCCTCTTGTGAGAGGGAAGACAGCACCTGAGATAGGGAAGCTGGAAGCTTCAGTGGAGGACTGAGCTTTGGTGTTTCAGGTTCCAGGTTTCAGGAAGGAGGCAAAGGCAACAAAAGAACTGAGAGAAAGAGGATGCCAAAGAACAAAAGGCGGCCATGCTTGATGCTGCTGGGAGGCCAGTAACAGAAACCTGGCCAGTATGACACCCTTAGTGCTGAAGGACTTGAGGTTAGAGTTGGGATATGGGGCAGGCACTAGGGGCTCAGGGTGGGTGAGGAGCTGCTGAACAAGGGCCAGAGGCATTTGTCCCTCCGTTCAGAGGACTAGGAAGCAGGATGGAAAGCCAGGCAAGGACCTCTCCCCTTTGCCAAGCTGCCCAGGAGCAGTGGTGAAGGTGAAAGTGAAAGAGAAGATGAGGAAGGCACCAGCCAGGCTCTGAGGAAAAGGTGAAAGCGAAAGCGAGAAGGTCAGACCGGCTAGGAGGGTGCCTGACAGAGAACCTGGCTTTGGCCTTTTGCGCTTGTCGCCCATAGCCCTCCAACCCCCAGACCACCCTGCCCACCTCGAGATGCTGAAGCCAGAGTTAGAGCCCCGAAGGGGCTTCTCATTCGAGAACTGCCAGAGGTGATGGGGGTGGTGGCTGGGGCGAGAGGAGGGACTTCTGGGAGTGGAAGCCCTAAGGCCTTTATTCGGGTGGGGGTGGAGAGACGGCAGAGTGTGTTGGGCGAATTGGGTTTCCAGGCTCCCACCCCTAGAGATGAGGGAGTCTAGGACAGAGTTGGAGGATGTGATGAAGAGGCACCTCAACCTGGGCCACTCCACTCCGTTTCCAGAAATGCATCCTTAGAACGAGTCCTCCCGAGCCTCCGGATCCCTCATCCACACAAGACCGGAACCACCATCGCGGGCCTTGTGTTCCAAGTGAGCAGGGGCGTGGGACTGGGGGGATCAGAAGGGTCTCCTGGGGGATCGGACAGGCACTGAGCCAGCAGACCCTCTCCCTCCCCAGGACGGGGTCATCCTGGGCGCGGACACGCGGGCCACTAGCGATTCGGTTGTGATGGACAAGAATTGCGAGAAGATCCACTTCATCGCCCCCAAAATCTAGTGAGAAATCCCCAAGCCATTCCCCCAAAGAACCGCCCCCTCGTTCCCAACCCGGGTCCCCACAGATCCTAGCCCCGCCCACACCGATCCTCCCTTCCTTCTCAGCTGCTGTGGGGCTGGAGTAGCCGCGGACGCCGAAATGACGACGCGGCTGGCGGCGTCCAACATGGAGCTACACGCCCTGTCCACGGGCCGCGAGCCTCGCGTGGCCACAGTCACGCGCGTTCTGCGCCAGACGCTCTTCCGGTGCTGGGGGGGGGTGCTAAGATGATGACCCTGAGGAGTGGCCGTGGTAGGAAGGGTGGGACAGAGAGGAGTTGGGACAGGACGAAGGGCGGGGTTGCGAGAGCCCCGGAGACCGGAAAAGGCTGACCTAAGAGGAGCCCGGCAGCCGGAAAGGGCTCTGTTAGGACCCGGGCGCTGGAGGGCAGGAACGGGCGGGGCTCGGGTCCCGGGTGGGTGTCACGGAGGGGCGGGACCAGAAGCCCAAGTGCTTGGGGCTGACCACGCCCACCCCTTGAAAAGGTACCGGGGCCACGTGGGCGCGTCGCTGATAGTGGGCGGAGTAGACTTCACCGGACCGCAGCTCTACAGCGTGCACCCCCACGGCTCTTACAGCCGTCTGCCCTTCGCAGCCCTGGGTGAGCTCTTCCTCCCCCTCCCCACGAATCCCAGCCCTGCGAGAACCTGGCCTCCTGTTCATCCCGCGACGCGCTGGCCACGACTGACCTCCGATGCCCCTCCTACTTGCAGGTTCCGGCCAGGATGCTGCTCTGGCGGTACTGGAGGATCGGTTCCAGGCGAACATGAAGGTGAGCAACACCTGTCCCCCACTACGCGTTCACTGATGGGAAGGGCACGTGGGAGCTAGGGTAACACAGAGGTATCCTGGCCTAGTCTAGAGGTCAGGGAAGGCTTCTTGGAGGAGGTGACGACTGAGTGGAGACTGAGGGGACAGTGGAGTCAGACTGAAGTGCTATTCCAACAGACGACCATCAGTGCCAAAGTTTGGACCGCTTGCAGTCAAAGCTCAGGACCCTTTGAAGCTGAGGGAGGAGGGAATGGCAAGTGGGGTCTGGAGTCTGGATTTTGTTTGGGTTGGGATGAAAGTGGATGCCATGTGTTGCTTCAGAGGTGCCTAAGGCCCAGAACGGAAAAAGCAATGAGCTGGTAGATTGGGGACCAAGACCACATTGGTTGGGTTGACAGCACTGGAAGCAGAACCACAAGTGTAAGTGACTCAGAGAAGTTTGTGAAGTGGTGCACTGGGAACACGGCGTCTCTGGAGAAAGGGAGGCAGAGACGAGGGGAAGGGAGCTTGGGGTGGATGGGAACATAGGGAAACAGAGGAGTCTGGATATGAGCAAATGCTAAATACTCTGGCTTCGAGATGAACAAAACCTCTTGGCTATAGCCTGAAAGAGTCCATCAGGCCTCATGCACACATTATCATCACAGCTGGAGGCTGCCCAGGAGCTGCTAGTGGAAGCCATCACTGCAGGGATCCTGGGTGACCTGGGCTCTGGAGGCAGTGTGGATGCATGTGTGATAACGGAGACCGGCGCCAAGCTTCTGAGAACATTAAGCTCACCCACAAAGCCCATAGAGAGGTGGGAGCATGGGAGATGGGGGACCACTAGGGAGGAGGGGCAGTAGCAAGGGAGATAGGGGGCTGCAAGAAGAGGACAGGCCACATGATGGGCCCAAGTTGAGAGCCCATCCCTTCCCTCTCGCAGGCCCAGCCAGTACCGCTTTGCCCCTGGGACCACAGCTGTCCTGTCCAGGACAGTGAAGCCACTGACCCTGGAACTGCTTGAGGAAACCGTGCAGGCCATGGAGGTAGAATGAAGTGGAATGATGCTTAGGGCTTGGAACGAAGAGAAATAAACCCAAGAAATACAAAAACACCTAAACGGATGGCTGTGTTGTTCCTGGGTGGAGGGGGGACAAGCAGCCATCTGGACACTGTGGCTCATGTACACCTGCAGGGACCACTCTCTGCATTGTTCCAGGGCCTGGCCTTACAGGTGCCCTTTACCCATAGCCATAGGCATCTATTCCTCCAGAATTCCAGCCCTGGCAAGCACTGCAGCTCAAGGTGGAAGGCCCCTTCCTGACTCTCCAAACTATAGAGGTCCCCCTACCACTCCGGTGCCTTGCTCTTGCCCTCTAGTCTACTGAGGACTGTTGTAAAACCCAAAAGGCCCCCCACACTGCCCCCTTTCCCTGGCTCATCAGTGTCTCACAGCAAAGCCCACACTTCTCAGTCAAGGAGACTGCATGGACTCCACTGAGTTAGCCCTTAAGGCTGATAGAGGAGCTGCTCCCTGACTCCAAGGGCAAGTTCTTACAGAACAATCCTCACCCCTGCAACACCTTTACCTGTGCAACCGCTCCCATGACCAGGCCCACCCTAAGGGCTTCTATTTGGACGTGCTGATCTGTGAAAGGGGTGGCGGGGGGCAGGGGTCTCCCAAGTTTGCTAGGCTGATGGATCATAGGGCTTATGCAGAGAGAGATGACATGACACATTTATCCAGCAAACCTTTGCTGAGTGCCCCGAGGGCCAGCCAAAGGGCCATGTGCTGGCAGGAGATCGTGACCTCAGAGAGAACAGCTGACTCCACTGGAGCTTTGGAACTGTTAGAGTCTGCCCAACCGTTGGGGAGGGTCTACTCTGAGCTGGACATCCCTGGGCCCCTGATTGTGCTCCCCCCTCCCCAATATTTTATTATGAAGATTTTTAAACATAGCAGCTGAATTGCACTGAACACCTATATGCCCACAATCGACTTTACAATTATTATTGTTGTATTTGTTTGATCACACTTCCATCCCTCCATTCCTCTGTTCAACCATTAGCGCGTCTTTTTTTTTTTTTTTTTGCGCATCTTATTTTTTTGACTGAAGTGTAGAGTCAGTTGCTGCCCCCCACACCTCTAGGAGCCCAGCCAACTTACCTACTGCAGCTTTGCACACGGGGCTGTCTTCTCTTCCTCAGTGCAGGCTCAGCCTGGAACTCCACAACAGCTGGGCTGTGGACACCAAGAACTTGCCCACAGGAACCCCAAGGCCTGGAGGCTGTCACCCTGGGACCCATAACCCCCATCCAGGGTCAGCCAGTCACCAAGTGCTCACTCCTTACCCTCTGTGTGCCAGGCCCCTACCAGGTGTCGTCTCCTCAATAAGAGTGTGGGCTTTGGAGCCAGGTGAAGGTTTGGGTCCAAAAGTACTATGTGCTGGTAAAAGAGTCACCATCTCTTTGGACAAACTGACTCCTGTTCCAAGTTGGTGAGAAATCACTGAGATGCTATTCAATTTGTGACCTGCCAGAACCCCTGTCCTGGCCGCATGGCCCTGGCCCTCCACAGCACAGCTGGCACAGCTGGACATTCCCTCCACCCATCAGGAACACCCCTGGGTGCTGAGCAGACTTCTCTGAGTCTGGTGCCCTGACAGCCCTAAGAAACTTCGCTGATCCCAGCCACCATGTAGTTCACACAGACCTAACTTAACCACAAGTCCTTGCTACTTAACACTCACTGCTTGGGATGTGAGGTGGTTCAGGGAACCAGTCAGAGACCAGGCTTTGGGGGGTGGACATGAGAGCCTCACACCTGGTCTCTGTCTGATAAAGTCCAGGCCTGAATCCAAGACCTTGACCTAAAGACCCTCCTCCTGACCAGAGCATGGGAGGGGGCTGAGCCCACACAGCTGGCTTGGCCTCAGGCCTGGGACTTTTGCCCAAGGACGAGGAGAACCATAAAAGTAGGCCCAGCTTTCAACCTCACGTCTGCCACAATGCTGCTGCTCAGTCTGACCCTTTGCCTGGTCCTCCTCGGCTCCTCCTGGGGTGAGTGGGCCTGGACTAGCCCTGATGACCAGCCCTAAAGCAACCAAGCTTCCAAAACCAGCCCCAGGCTTCCTGCCCAGGGGCTCGGGGAAGGGGCTGGGCTGGCTGGAAGGGAATTAGGTGGACAGAGTGGGTAAAGGAAAAAGGAAGTGCCAGGGTTGGGGTGGTGGGGGCAAGAGGTGGCCAGGGGCTGGTTTCACAAATGGGACAAGATTAGGCCAGAGCTAGGAGCCAGGGAGGGTTTAGGAAGCTGAGAAGTGAAGGTTGGACATGTAGTTTAGGGAGAAGCCTCTGGCTGTTGAGTCCTGGAGCAGGGGCAAAGCCAGGAAGGAGACTATCCCAGGGGTCAGGGAGAAAAATGCCCTGAGTTGGAGGGTGAGAGTGAATCTGGGGAACAATGGGAAGTAAGAGTGGAGAGAGGTTAGGGAACGGACAGAATCTGGAGGTGAATTGGGCAGAGGTAAGGACATAGGTAACCAAGATACCTAGAGGTGCTCACGGTGAGAAGGGGTAATGACGAGCCCTCTTGATTTGGACCTCTGAGGGCCAGAGCCTGGGGGCAGCCAGGAGGAGGTGGGGATAGCTGGGTGGGGGGATGGGGGTGTGGGAAGCAGGTCCTCACCAGCCCAATGGCCAGGCTGCGGAGTTCCTGCCATCAAGCCACTACTGAGCTCCAGCCAGAGGATTGTCAACGGGGAGAGTGCAGTGCCAGGCTCCTGGCCTTGGCAGGTGTCTCTGCAGGTACATGGACTCCGGGGGTGGGGCAGGGTACCAGGTTCTTCATGCCTAGATGCAGCCTGAGCCCACCCCCACTTCTGACCCCTGATCCCAGGAAAAAAGTGGCTTCCACTTCTGCGGAGGTTCCCTCATCAGCCAGTCCTGGGTGGTCACTGCTGCCCACTGCAATGTCAGGTGAGTACTCCCACTCTACCTGCCCCGGAGCCCACCTCTCCCCACCTCCTTCCCCCACATGCCCCTCTCTTGTCACTCTGCCCTCCCTGCAGCTGCCCAACCCCCTTCTCACTGCAGCCCTGGCCGCCACGTTGTTGTCCTGGGTGAGTACGACCGATCATCCAGTGCGGAGTCTTTGCAGGTTCTGTCCATCTCAAAGGTGAGTATCTAGGCTAAAGACATGGAAAGAAAGTGTGCCTGGGGCAGATGGGGGGCTCTGGGGATGAGGAATTCAGGGCAGGCCCTAGGCTAGCCTCCTCAGCAATCATCAACCATGGGGGGCCTATGCCCATGACCATCCTCCCTGGCTCCTTCCTGGTTCTACAGGCCATCACGCACCCTTTCTGGAACCCCAACACCCTCAACAATGACCTGACTCTACTGAAGCTCGCCTCCCCAGCCCAGTACACAAAACGCATCTCACCAGTCTGCGTGGCCTCCTCCAATGAGGCACTGCCTGCGGGCCTCAAGTGTGTCACCACTGGCTGGGGACGTCTCAGCGGCGTGGGTAGGAACTTGGGCCAAAGATCTGGGTGACAGGGCCAGGGTGGGAAGCAGTCATCCAGGGCCTCACCATCCCCTCTGGCCCCCAGGCAATACGACCCCAACACGCCTGCAGCAGGTGGCCCTGCCCCTGGTCACCGTGAATCAATGCCGGCAGTACTGGGGCTCACGCATCACTGACTCCATGATCTGCGCGGGCGGCGCAGGAGCCTCCTCGTGCCAGGTGAGCATTGGCACCCTGGCCCGCCCTCTGCACTGCCCTGGGGCACCCCCTGACCCCCATGCTGACGGCTCTCCTCTCCCTCCTCAGGGAGACTCCGGAGGCCCTCTGGTCTGCCAGAAGGGGAACACATGGGTGCTTGTTGGCGTCGTCTCCTGGGGCACCAGCAACTGCAATGTGCGCCAGCCTGCCATATACACTCGGGTTAGTAAGTTCAGCAACTGGATCAACCAGGTCGTAGCCTCCAACTGAGCCGGCCACATGTCCTCTCCCCATCTCAATCCAATAAAGACCCCGTGCTCTGTCCTCTTGTGCATTCCTGTCCTTTCAAGGGAAAGTAGGGGCTTTCGGGAGTCCCTCTCCCCACCTGGGACTTTGACTTCTGGCATGGCAGGCGTTGAGTCGGATCGTCCTAGAGCAGCCATGCCCAGGCCACGCCCCCCATCTTTCCTCCTAGGTAACCCCTGATCCACAGCAAGGAGCCTGGACTGTCAGAATGGATGGGCAGCCTTCCCTGGGGAGGGCAGCCTGTTTATTGAGTACAGAGGATACATTTACAACCGGAGTACACAAAATAAATAACAGCACATTCTCCAGCCACGGTCCATGGCATAAAGGCCCAGGTGGGCCTATCAAAGGCCCAAGTCTCCCAATGCCCTCTATCTTACCCTTAGGACCAGGCCTACCTTGGACAAGAGAGGAAATAAGTCCCTAGGGCTTCAGGCCCCCGAGACACTTGGGAAAATGGGGGAAATTCTGAGGCCACAGAACCTTGGCTCTCTGCTGCCTTGTGCCATGAGCACTGGGTACAAGAGAAGATGTATAAGGCACAATTTGCTTGGCCCAGAATGGTCTCTTTGGTTTCTTTCTGACTGGAGGTGGCACATGCAGAAAGAGGAGGGCCTGGCCCAAGGCTACCCACTGGGAGAAACAGTGAGGGCCAATCCCTCCCTGTTGGCAGAAGCCCTGCAGTCTAGCTAAGGCTAAAGCTGGACCCCAGCTCCTTCCTACCCACTGAACACAGCTGTGGAGGAAGGGGCCTTGGGTTCCAGCCTGGTTTGGGGTGGGGTGGTGCAGAGGAGGCACTATGAGAGGCACCATGAGTGACATGGGGATGGTCTGGCTCACGCCTCTGGGAAAACAGCCACCCAATTCCACCCACCTCCTGCAGGGGCTCCCTCCAGCCTGAGATTCGGCAGAGCCCAAGCTGGAAGGGTAATGCTGTGAAAGGAAGGAGGAACAGGCTGGACCAGCCAAGGCCAGCTGTGAGAAGGCCAGGGCCCCAGACACTCAGGGTTCAGAGACAGGTCACACAGTTTGGCTAAGTTCCAACTGGAGCTGCGCAGCAGCTCAGCAGAAGGGGAGGGCTGAGCAGCCTGGGACCTCTCCTCAATACAGCAGCTCCTTCCCACTTTCTCTAAAGGATGAAGGATAAGCACATGGTCAGTCCTAGGCTGCCCATACTCATGTCAGACACTAGATGGCGCCTTCACGCAGCTGTGAGGCGGGAACAGCAGAGCCTGAAGGGAAGGGGGGCAATGGGCAGTACCAAGGGTGGAACCAGGCTGACACTGGAATCTTAATGGGGCCGTCCCTGGGAAGCCTCTGGTATCTGCCTTGGCCCTGGTGCCCCCATTCCCCAGGTAGCAGCAGTGGGGCTCCCTTTAATCCCCCACAGTTGGGAAGGAGGCACCTAGGGAATAGAAAGGGCATCCAAGGGGGAGAGAAGTGTAGAGTGGGCTCTGCAAAGAAGGCACTGAGAGCAGTGGGCTCGTGGGCAGGAGGTCTCTCATTGGCAGAGAGAGGATGGAGCCTGGAGAAGCCTGCTACCAACATGGCCACATAGTCCAGAAGACCCAAGGACCCTGCCATGGCCCCACCACCAGAGTTTCTAGGCAGTCCTGGGGCCAGGAGGGGTCCCTGGAGGCACCACGAAGGAAGGCAGACCTTGGGTGGGAGGTGGGAGACTGTATGGACTTCACCAGGGGCTGAGAGTCCAGCTAAGGCACAAGCTTTGTGCCTCCCTAGGCCCCTCACTGGGGCACAGATCAGGATGCAATGGAATGTGGGGGGCCAGAAAAGGTTCAGTGAAGAGGATTTCAGAAGTAACTGTCTCAAAGAGTCCTGGGACCTCAGGATACCCTCTGCCTGGCACTTCACACGTTTTGGTCTTGGGGAAGAGCCAAGGGAAGGCCAGGTCCAGCCACTTCCCCAACCTCTAGCAGAGCAGTTGCCCACCAAAAAGAGCACTGGTGCCAGGCCAGGCTCCTCATTCACAGGGCTCACAGCCCCCCTAGGCTCCCTCCACTCTGTCACACCAGGCTCAGGCCCAGGATGAGGATGGGGGCTGCTGAAGGGACACGGAAGGGGCTGGGGCTGTGGCACACCTGCACCGCAGCCAGGTGGCTCAGCCATTGTACTGCTGCTGGTAGCGCAGGTTGAGCTCCCGCAGTTCCCGCTCCCGGACTCGGCGCGACTTATTGGAACGTGTAGAGCGGCTGGAACGCGTGGACTGGGCCGATTTGGTGCTCTGGCAGCGTGAGGAAGCACGTTTGAGGAGGTTCTGGGAAATGGAGCGGTGCAGATTCTTCATGGATGAAGAGGCTGCCATGCTCACCACCCATGGGTGCCTCAGGGCCTGCAGTGCAGTCATGCGGGCGCCGGGGTCCACTGTCAGCAGGCGGTCAATGAAGTCCTTGGCCAGATTGGACACACTGGGCCAGGGCTAGAGGCCAAGGACAAACATTAGAGTGAGAGCACTCAACATTGCTCTCCCCATCCTGACGAGGCTACCACCATGGCACTGAGAACCGTCCAGCATTCCTGCACTCTCCCCCTGAAGAAAAGCCCTGCCCAGCTCCTCCCAAGTCTCCCCCTGCTACCCAACATTGGCCTAGGCCACCAAGCAGAGGCTGTTCTGAGTACGGAGTCCACACGACAAATAGGAGAAGGAAATGCTCCTCTCCCCAAGCAGCCAACTTCTAAGTGCCCTGGATTCAAAGCCTGACTCAGGAAGGTGGCCCCCGTCAAGATGTCCCACCTACCCCAGAATTACTGTAACTCAGGGGGATTTAAAAAGAATGACCCAAACTTTCCACCATACCCTAGGCCAGACTTAAGCTCCCAACCCAGGATGTCACATATCAGGCCACTTAGCAGGCAACTTCCTAGTCTTGAAAGAGAGAACCACCCTCCATCCAATTGACCAAGAGGGGATGGATGACTACTGCATTCCCCTCATCAGCCTCTGCCTCTCAGCCATGGGGAGAAAAGGAAATAATTCAAGGCAACTAGATTTCTCTATCTGCTGAGAGGGTAGGGGGCTCTTGAGGGACAGGCGGGACCAGGTGACCTTTCCAGTCTGTGTGACCTCTTGGAGCCACACAGGGGGGCCTGGCAGTGCTCTACACAGCCTCATTTTGGTACCTTGTGTCCTCAGGGAGACACTGCACAAAGCCTGCTCTGCTACATGCCCCTGTGACTGCCTTATCTCAGCCACACACCAAGCAGCCACACAGCAAGGGCCTCAATCTGGACAGCTTGTACGGACATTCACCTGTCTGAATCCTTAGGTTCTCAGGGTTAAAGGACACTTACTCAGACTTCTCTTAGCGCCCAGAGCTAAGCAATGATTCCAGTGATTGCAAGTTGATTGTTCGTTCCTATTAGACCATACAAAGCTGGATGAGCCCCATGCCTGGCGCCAGGAATAGAGAGGCCCGAGAGGCCCTCAAGCCCCTCTGCTGGAGAAGGGCAGACACAGTACTACTTTGTGTCCCCATCTTCTGGGGACACTGTGCCATGGGCTCTGATATTCCCAAAGGGTGGGTGGCTAGGACCTTTGTTGAGCCTGCTGTAGAAGGTTTGGCTGGGACATCAAGGACACCATCACCCTCCTTCCTGCCGAATGAGGTCTGCCTGTTCCACCCAAAGGTACCCTTCACCTTGCGGGATGCCTGAACTCACTCTCTGGGGGATTCAGGAGTATCCCAGAGCCCGCATTCAGGGCAGCTGCACACCCCTTCAGCAGTCACACTTAACACTGACTATTGCTACCCCCAATTCAGCTTCTTCTTCTTTTTTTTTTTAAGATTGTATACATTTTTTTTGACAGGAAGAGAGAGAGAGAGACTGAGCACAAGCAGGAGGAGCAGCAGAGGAAGAGAGAGGAACCTGATGTCAGACTCGATCCCAGGACCCTGAGATCATGACCTGAGCTGAAGGCAGACACTCAACTGACTGAGCCATCCAGACACGCCAGTTCAGCTTCCCTGACCTCCAATTCTTCCCCAGTGCCCTTCCCCACTTATATACAGGGGACAGAGGGGGGCACCAAGGAGAACACTCTTCTGGAGTCCTGAGGAAGGGGTGGGGCTAGTTGCAGATGTAGCTTTTTGGAAGGCAAATCTCAACTTTCACTAAACTGAACTGGTAGAAAATGACAGACCACATTCCCAGACAGCCACCAAACAGGGTCCTCGTCACCAACGGGCCTGCTCCCAGTGACTCCTGGGGAGATAATGATCTTCAAGAGGAGTGCACTCAGGGCCTCGGGACATGCAGCCAGGGAAACCCATGAGTACCTTGCTGAGAGCAGTGAGGGGGCACAGAGGGGCAGACAGCGCTCCCCCATACACCCAGAGCCCAGGGCTCCGGTACCGAGGCTAACGCACAGCGAGACTGCGGGCTTCGGCTCACAGCTCACGAAAGCCTTGTGGCTTGCTGCGGCCCCCTGAACACAAGAAGCCGCTGTGAGGGGCCAACAATCTCAACCACAGACACTCACCGTAACCCGTCATTCACTTAGAAGAGATGGAAAGACGCAGGCATAATGGGGCCACTGATGGACAGAGCAAAACCTAGAAGGTGAGCAGGCTGGGTCATGAGAATACCTGTGGGGCCCTACCAGCTCTTCTGGTGAGAAAGAAGAAAAAGGGCAATCACTGGGAAACACAGCGCAGCTCAGTCCGGCCGCTTGGTGGGCCAGCCCGAAGACAGGGCGGGCAGTGCAGGAGAGCCAAACAGAACTGGCACACGGGTTCTGCCCCTGCCCTTGGTCCAGCCAAGACAGAAGAGAGGCAACTCCTCTGCAGAGAGCAGCATAAACAATGGCGAAGCTGGACTCACAAGCCAGGAACACGGATGGAGCAGAGGCACCCCCGCTTCACATCCACACCCAGTCAATCTGCAGACTCGATCCCTTGTCCAGGGAGGTCTTCGATGGGCCTCTCACCAGCCCTTTCCTGGCGGCATAAGCACATCCATTCCCAGAGTGGCAGAGGCTCACACCAGGCATCGACCCCTT